AAGGTGTAATATATATATATATATATATATATTTATTTACTTTTTTTAATATATATATTTATCAACATATTTGTAACTTTTAATTTATTACTTTTTAATCTCATTGCAGAATAAGCTATCTGATAATATTTATTCATTCTTGCTTTTGTTTTTAACACTGGGTCACATGTAGGTTTGTGTCAGTGTTGAAATATTTAGTTTTTCTCTGACTGTCTTTGCTTTTTCCCAGCTCCTCCTGATGAGCAAGGAAATAGAAGTGCGAGAACTGGACTTCCTGTTACGTTTCAACATTGACCACAACTATGTCAGCCCACTGGACTTTCTCTCCAACTCAGCATGGAGTGCCATCAAGGTTTACACATACCGGTCTTTGCTTTTGCTTGCTGTGTGTGAATGACATTTTCTATCATTGCCGTTGACCTCCTGTTTGTGTCCCAGGTGATGAGTTTTACCGATGAGTTCCGCGGCCTGGACCGGGACATCGAAGGCTCACCTAAACGCTGGAAGAAACTCGTTGAGTCGGAGTGTCCAGAGAAGGAGAAGTTTCCACAGGAGTGGAAAAGTAAAAGTTCCCTGCAGAAACTGATCATGATGAGGGCTCTGAGACCAGACCGTATGACCTACGCTCTCAGGTGATGAGTTTTTTCTCCTTCAAATATTTGAGATATTCTTTTTTGTTGACAAGTTTGTACAAACTTATGACACAACATGCACAGGAAATGTTATTTTTAAATAACTAAAGCCTTGTGGTCTCCTTTAATTTTGATGTGCTGTAGGAACTTTGTGGAAGAGAAACTTGGGGTGACATATACAGAGGGCCGAAAGTCTGAATTTGCCAAGTCTTTTAAAGAAAGTGGTCCAGCATCTCTGGTGTTTTTCATTCTCTCTCCTGGCGTGGACCCACTTAAAGATGTGGAATCACTGGGTAAAAGAAGCACAGTCATGCACATGCTATCACACAGAGCAAAGAAGAAATGTTGCCATAAGTTTAAAAAGTACTGTAAAATTGAGGAAAACATAAACAATGTGTTTTATCGTTTTGTTTTGCTCTAAAAATGTGAGTTTCAGTTTTTGCACAGATTTTTAAAAAACGGTTATTTGTGCTCCAGGAAGGAAGTTGGGTTTTACTATAGACCTTGGGAAGCTGCACAACGTCTCCTTGGGACAAGGGCAGGAAACTGTGGCTGAAATCGCCATGGAAAAGGCTGCAAAGGAGGGTCACTGGGTTATACTACAGGTCTGATTTTATTTTTATCAAACCCCTTCCATTTAGGATAAAGACAATAGAACCATTGGTTTTCCCGTTTTGAAATATGACATATTAAAGAAAAAAGGCAAATGTTTAGGCTTTTGTATTCGATGCTTGTTGTTTGGTGTTGCCTCTTCATTGTTGAGACATGTTCAAGTTGAACCATGTGTTTCTCCTCAGAACATCCACCTTGTTGGCCGCTGGTTGGGCGCCCTTGAGAAGCTCTTGGAGCGCTGCTGTGAGGACAGTCATCCAGACTACAGAGTGTTTATGAGCGCCGAGCCGGCATCTTCCCCTCAGGAACACATCATACCACAGGTGGAAATGCTGCAATTATTAGAGCCCGCCGTTGAAAAATCTTGCTTTGGCTGAGTATGTGTGTGTTTGTTTGTTTGTACTTCATTGCTATAATTCAGTCATTTCTACAGATACTAATGATACTTTTCAGGTGTTTTTCTACCATTTTGTATGTTTTCAACAATGCTTATTGAAAAAATTACTAACTGCTGCCTTTTTTTTCCTCCTTTTGTTTTACTCAGGGCATTCTGGAAAATGCTATTAAGATCACAAATGAACCTCCTACCGGCATGCATGCCAATCTACATGCTGCTCTGGATAACTTTGATCAGGTGAGTCTGTTTTTCACACACCATAAATATATATTTTATACATTATATACATTCAACAGTTCGGTGATTTGCCACTGCACAGGACATTCTGGACCAGTGCAGCCGTGAGCAAGAGTTCAAGACCATCCTCTTCTCTCTGTGCTACTTTCACGCCTGTGTGGCTGAAAGGAGGAAGTTTGGACCACAGGGTTGGAACAGAAAGTATCCGTTCAACACCGGAGACCTGACCATATCGGTGAACGTCCTCTACAACTACCTGGAGGCCAACGCACAGGTGAGGAGTGTTTTCATGAAGATGTATGAGGAGGTGATTGGATTAGCAGCACTTTATATTATGGTGTTGAAGGTTCCATGGGAGGATCTGAGGTATCTGTTTGGAGAGATCATGTATGGAGGACATATCACTGACGACTGGGACAGGCGTCTCTGCAGGACATACTTGGAGGAGTACATGCAGCCCAACCAGGTTTGTATGATTGTTCGTAAAAATGAGCACAAGTGTAAAAAGTGAGTGCAGTAATTTCACATTACACAGATTATTTGACTAGAATTCAAGGGTTATTTGTTAGAGCGAACAGTAGCAGCTGCAGTTAGCTGTAGCACAGTGCAGCCTGGGCTGTGTCCAGCAGGGATATCCTTACATTGCTGCCAGAATAAAATAAAATAAAATAAAATAAAGGGGCAACAGTTTAATGGTTTATAAAATGTTGATAACATAAACTACTATGAAAAATCTGAGATTCACTTTGGGTTTAGCCCTGCTCAGATTAAATATTAGCTCAGTAATCCTGACAGAAGTAAACTTCATCTGTTTAAACTGTGGTATTCAAAGAGCCGTCTACAACAGGTAGGCTTCAGAATATCAAATTTACGTCTTTAATCCCTATTAGGCCTGAAAATCATCTCTAGTTTGAATTTGATTAATTTTAGACTACAGACTATTTGAGAAAGCTAAAATGTTTATGTTTTTGGCCAGAAGTAAAATATATATTTTTAATTTGCAGGACTTCCTACAACTAATATATTTTATTTTATGTCTTAGTTTGACCGTAAACTTGCACTGGCACCTGGATTTTTCATTCCTTCCAATTTAGACTACAAGGTAAGATGAATAATTTTTTTTTTTAAGTCTTCAGTTTTCTAGCCTCAACATGAAACATTACCATGTATGTATTACCATGAACAAGTCTAAAATTGTTGCGATCAGCTAAGCAAGAACCTTTCTCTCCACAATGCTGTTGTTTGTGGAAACGTCAAATAAATTTGTTCTTTGAATGTCTCTTGATTCGTCTCAGGGCTACCATGACTTCATTGATGAGATGCTGCCTCATGAAAGCCCAGTGCATTATGGGCTGCATCCAAACGCAGAGATTGAGTTCCTCACAGTGACGTCAGATAATCTTTTTCACACTCTGCTGGAGCTGCAGTCTCCTGACGCTGTGATGGGAGACGGAGCTTCACAGACGCTGGAGGAGAAGGTAGTTACAACACGTCCAGTGAGTTTACTGGATCTAAAAAAGAGAAACTTTACCTTACGCAACAATGATCTCGTCTTGGGCAAAGCTATTAAAAAGATCACCCATTGTTGCAATTACTCACCATAATGGTCCTTTAATAAATATACTTCTCTAATTTTGATAGAAACAAAGTAGGACGTTTGTTTTCCTCTGTTCTGATCAAGTAAACCCTCCGCTCACCTGCAGGTGAAAACTATTTTAGATGAGGTCATGGAAAAGCTGCCAGAGGAATACAACATGTCTGACATCACCTCTAAGACGACTGAACGCTCGCCGTACATCCTAGTCTGCTTTCAGGAATGTGAGCGCATGAACGCGCTGATTTTTGAGATCCGCCGCTCACTGAAGGAGCTCGACCTGGGACTCAAGGTACGCTCAGTCTCCTCCATTTGCCTTCAGAACACTTCTCAGAATCTCAGTGTAATTTGCCGACCACGTACAGCGGACTTACTGCAGCTGGATGATTAGGTGAACAGACTGTAAGAATTGTGTGAATGATAACTCTGCTGTTTTTTGCTAAATTTAGCTTTTTCCAATAATTTCAACTTTTTTTGTGCTAATTTCTGCTTCTTTTAGCCTAATTGGGCACAATTGTGCTCTTTTCATGTTCTTTTGGTAATTTAAGCTTCTTTTGAAATTTTTAGCTACTATTCAGCAGTTGTTTTTTTTAAAGAAAACAACTGTTTTTCAGATCATTTCAATTTTTTTTGGTGCTCATTTCTGCTTTTTTCAGTCTAATTGGGCACAATTGTGCTCTCTCTACTTGCTTTTCGTAATTTACGCTTCTTCCTGCTTTTTCAGCTACTTTTCACCTATTTCTTTCTAATTTCAGCTTCTTTTTTTTAAAGCTAATTTACTAAATTTTGTGTTAATTTCTGTATATTTAAAGCCAATTCAGCAAATATATTTTCTTTCTGATTTCTTCTGCTAAGTTAGGCTTGTTCTTCCATTTCAGCATGTTTTTAGTTATTTTTCAATAGTTTCTCAGCAAGTTCTTCCACAATAAGCATTCACACTGCATGTTTTGGAGGAAATGCAATGTATTTAGTTTGCTTTAATTTGGATAACTGAATTTGTCACTGATGCAACATATAGCATCTCCAACATGTGTTAATAGTGAAGTAACAGATAAATATTTCTGGAAAGGGTGAACTGGCCATGTCCTCTGAGATGGAGAAGCTGCAGACGGCCCTGTTCTTTGACAACGTCCCTGACACCTGGGCCAAACTGGCCTACCCTTCTACCTACAGCCTGGCCATCTGGTGTGTTTCACTTTTTGATTTTTATTGCTTAAAATGTAGAATGCTATGTTGCTTTACAGGGAAGATAATTTTGATTAGACAAGTAGGGGTGTTGTTGCTATTTCACCGAGTTGCAATGCATGCAATAACCTGCCAAAGATTGTGAAATGTGATAATCAGGTCAGAGACGTTGTTTTCACAGAGCCTGGATATTCAACACTGTTGTCTGAATTATCTGTCAGGTACAACGATGTGATGCAACGCTGTAAAGAGCTGGACACCTGGACTCAGGACCTGTCTCTGCCCAGTGTTGTCTGGATATCTGGACTATTCAACCCACAGTCCTTCCTCACTGGTAATGTAACTAAAAGTTTTACCTTAACATAAAAAAGAGCTCCCTTTCAATTATCTCCACATTGTATTCCTGTTGTGCTCATTAGTCTCTGTTTCCAGCTGTGATGCAGTCTCTGGCGCGTAAAAATGAATGGCCTCTGGACAAAGTGAATCTTACTGTGGATGTAACCAAGAAGTTTAAGGAAGAGTTCAACCAGCCGGCCAGAGAGGGAGCATACGTGTATGGACTTTACATGGAAGGTAGAAGTTGTCTTTCATTTAATAGAGTTTGTTTAAGCAGAGTTAAACATATTTACTCAAGATGAGAACTTTATATTTCCGCTTCCTTCATTCTGCTCTTTTCCAGGTGCCAGATGGGACACTCAGACTGGGGTGATCACTGAGGCTCGTCTGAAAGAGCTGACCCCTGCCATGCCTGTCATCTCAGTTCGAGCTGTGCCCAATGACCGTCAGGAGACCAGGAACATCTATGAATGTCCTCTGTACAAGACCAAGATCAGAGGCCCCACATATGTTTGGACTTTTAGTCTTAAAACCAGAGAGCGGCCGGCCAAATGGGTCCTGGCTGGTGTGGCCCTGCTGCTCAGTGTATAAGGAGAAAACATCTCTCTTTAGTCACTGCAAATAGAATCAGGTTTTTCTTTTTATTTAAAAATAATATAATAGAGAAAAAATGTCTAAAATTCACACACTAGATCACAGTTAGAACTGGTATAATCGAAACACATTTTACCAAATCAAATAAACAAGCTAAAAGATACCCTAAGCAGGAGAGAAAACAATATTGCTGCCTCGTTAGAGTGGCATTCAAGTGCATTGTTTTGTCACACTTGTATCCTCTACAGAATGTTATGCAGCAGTTTACAAAATACATTAAATTACACAGGTAAAAACATCATTTAAACCCCTTTCAGACATACTTGTCTCCATTTCAACTAACAGTGTGAGCTTTGTTTAAAATCAGGACTAAGAAATAGGGCCGATCTTGTGTCGTTCCATATCACATTCAACACAGTATGTTAATATAAAAAGACAATCATCCACATGCAGTGGTGGAATAATTTTGCTTATATTTGCATGGTTTAAGGATTATTTGTCATTAGGTGCAGTACCTGATTTTTAAAGGCACCATAACTGAAAAGATTGAAAGAAAACGTCACGTTTGAGCTGTAGTCTCTTCTCTCATACTAAAGCATCTCTGAGGCACAAGCAGAGGTGTAAACTCTAAAGCAGGGCTATTCAACTAAATTGCACAGGGGGGCACAGTTAATGAAGGCCAAGGGCTCAGGGGCCAGCAGTTATTGTCATTAATTAAGTTTGTTTTATGGTTTAACATCTAGTTTTATTTAGGGATTAATTTTTGAGACGGATTCTGCCAGAAGAGGGTCCGGGAACTCTTATTTTGACAGGGTGCGTTCCGGTAACTGTTTGCTTGGATCCGGTAACTCTCAGGCTTACTAATAATAAAATTATGAACAAACTTGACTGCCTTGAATGAACAAAACCTATATTGTTTATGTAATCTGACAGCAATTACATAAACACTAATACACAACAGCCACTTACGAGCTTCTTAATATCACATATGATATGCTGGCCGCTTCAAGTACAGTAAAGTATTTCTGCCTCTACCCTGAAAAAAATCTCCACCCCTAAAAGTCCAAAGTCATTGCACATTTTTATTAAAAAACTCAAAAATATAATTTACCAGCACCGCTAAATTGCAACTCAGTTTGACAGTTTAAGTGGGTTATTAATACAATTTTGATTATTTATTAAAAAGACAACAAGAGAAGTGTTTGATGTGTATTCACATTAATCATGTATTAAAAAAAGGCGCTAATTTTTCTAAATAACAGCGATCAAAATGTCAAAAAGACAGTCCTATTTACTTTCGTTAAAAAAAAGGCTTCTCATTGTCCTTAGTCGGACAACAGAGAATTGACGCGCCTGAAGGCAGTGGCAATCGTGATTGGAGCAGGAGCGAGCGAGTGGTGGGGGTGAGTGCGGACTCCGTTTGACAGAAGCGCAATTGCTCTATTCACACACAAGGAGAGAGCTGTTGTTGTTATTGTTCTCTAAAATGGTTATTTACTCAAGTGTTACAAATGTAGGTAAATGTAGATGTTTAACAACCCGTTAAAATACATCAAAATGCAGGAAATGACATCTACTTCATTCAAAATTTTCTGAGGGAGGGCCCCCAGACCCGAAAATATAGAAGATTAAAAATGAACTCTTTGGTGGGCCGAAGCCTGATTTGGCCCCCGGGCCGCCTGTTGAATAGCCCTGCTCTAAAGTGATCGTTGTTTGAATGTCTGAAAAGGGATTGATTCTTTTAGCTCCTGTAACAGTTACCATTCAATAGAAAAAAACAAACATTTTGTTGTTTTCATCTAAAGCCCGTTCTGTAGCTCAGATGCTGCATGTGCTAACGTCAGAATCCTGCTAGTTTGGCCACTGTTTGTATATCTCTGTGTCTGATGATGTGGTTTCTAGTCGCTGTCAGACCAGTCGAGCTCCATCACGTCCATGGCCGCTGTAGCCATGTTGATCTTGCTTCCGTGTCGCACGCTGCAGCTCTTCACAGAGTTCTGATTGGAAGATGCTCGCATGCTCACCTGCATCCCCGAACGACCGACGACGCCCATCTCACCTCTGATCTTTTGGCTGACAGCCTCGCTGAGGTCGCCTCTGACTCCCTGGACTACAACCCCCAAGTCACTCCTGTGACTCCTCACCCCCAGCTCGCTCCTGACGCCACGCCCCATCATCTTTATCATTCCCAGGTCACCCATGTTCATGTTCATGTCCATGTCGCCGAGTTTCTCCACATCCCCCATCTCGTCTATATCTAGAGACAACATGTCGCCCAGACCTCCAAAACCTCCATGGAGACTCTTAAACATGGTTGGCAACCTCCCTCCTTCAAGCCCCCCCTCCACCCCTTTCTCCTCTAAACTGTCCCCAAGTTTATCAATCTCCCATCCTCCCTCCTTGTCACACTCCTCTTCTGCCTCCCCAAACCCTCCTGAGTACCCTCGGACTATGGTGGTCACTCTGCTTCTCTGCATGCCTCCCTTCTCCCTGTCCCCCTCCTCCCAGGTCCTCTCCTCCCGCTCCACCACACCTCCCGGGAAGCTCCTGAGTGTTACTTGCACACGTCCCCCCTCGAGACTCCCACTGTCACTTCGTTCCTTCTGGCCCCAACCTTTCTCCTGAATCGTTCCTTCCTCCTCCCCGTCTTGCTCTTCGAACCTTCCCTGCAATTCTCGGAGCATGGCATGCAGCCTCCCACCATCAAGTGAGCCCACCCCCCTGTCCACCGTGGCGCTGCTCCCTCTCTCTGTGTCTCCATTACTGAGTGTGCGGAAGAGAGAGCTGACACCAGCGCTGCTGACCCCGGCACTGCTGAGTCCGGTATTGTTGGAGTCCTGGGAGTGTGAACGAAAGAATGAGCCAGAGGAGCCGATTGACAACGGTGTGAAGAACTGCTGAACCAAAACAGAAGAGTAATTTATTTTTAAACAAAACCTTAGTCTAAAGAAAACTGCATACGCTTGATTTCGACGCAACTTACAGGTGAAATATTTGAACGATCCATGAGTAGAGAGGTAGGACTGGGAGTCATGTTGGACCTCTCCTTCAACCGCTCCTCCCACAGTCTGAGCCTCCTCTCCCTCTCTTCCAGCTCCTTCTCTTTGGAGTAAAGCTCCCTCTCTAGCTTTCGGAGGCGCTCCAGGGTTGACTCTATCTCGCACCTGTTGCATGTGCACACAAGAGGCAGACAAAAAAATGAAAGTGGGCTGAAGAACACTTGATCTTGACCTGAGGAGTTAGATAGAGAACTATGGTCCAGTTCACCACTTGCACATCTGGAAAGGCACATCAGGGGACCTTCCTCTTTAATGTTATTGTATGTTTGCATGCATCCCTCCTCAAAATGCATATGGCTTTCATACTGTCTACAGTGGACATCTGAGGTTCATTACAAACCTGAACAAGCGGTACACCAATGTCCCTGAGGGACTTTAATGGTGACTGTAGTATTTCAGATGAGTTTTCCAAGTTTTTCTTGACTGGAAATAAACTGGGAATGCAAGTAAACTTTAATGTGTTTGGTGAAACTTAATCAGATACGTAGAAGTTGCACTGCGTAACTGAATACCAGTAGGTTTTTGTTTTATTTATTTATTGGGGGGGGGGGGGGGGGGGTGTGCGGGGGGGGGGTCTTGTCCCAGGCAGTGCAGAGTGAAGGATCCTAGTGAGTGGAGGGAGCAATTTTATCCATGACCTGATGAATGATAGCCTTGACCACCTTAGGTTAATCTTTAGCCACCCCAAAGGAAACCCACATCATTTGAGGAAATTATATTTTTAAGCAATATAAAGACTAGAAAGCATAGTTTCCTCGAATGATAGGGGTGGTCGGGTTACATACACACACACACATATGATAAGGATGGTTCCATGGTGCTTCCCTAGGGAGGTGCTTTGGGCATGTCTGACTGGGAGGAGTCCCCCAGGAAGACCCAGGCCACATGGAAGAGACTGTGTCTCAGTTGGTCAGGGAACGACAAATGGATGGACAGTCTTTCCAATTAGCCCTCTTGGCTCTGTGACGGGGTACAAAAACAAAACCTAACGTATCACTGAGTGTTGTGCTCTCATGCTGGATAGTGCTCCTTGTTCTAGATAAAAAGCAGTTTCAATGTTCTTACTTGTAACACAAGTTTTTATCTTCATTATTTTATGTTGTTCAAGCTGCTGTTTAATTTACTGTATTATTTTACATTAGTGGTGTTTAGCGTATATCGTAGTTCTTTTAACGTATCATTTAGCGTTCATTTAGCATATATCTTAGATTCTTGTATACGGTTTCTTTTTATATTTTTTTATTTTTGCAATTTTTGGTATGGGACCTTGAGTGCACAGTTTCTTTCCACCTCATGTACCACATGTGATGCGAATGACAATAAAGAACCTTGAACTTTACTATTATTATCTACAAAACTAAGACTCTTGACAAAATTAAAATGTTCTAAATACACAAACATCTGGATGGAAAAGTTTTCTTCTATCTGCTACAAAGACTCACTGAGTGTGTAATTTTTTTTTTTTTTTAGTCTCCAAAGATTAACGTCGAATGGCTCCGTTGTGTTTTTGTGAGGTGTAAACATCTTCTGTGTATATGTGTGTTCTAAATTAGTGTTGATTTTGGCTACTATCTTTTTGGGCCAGAAATTATTTTAAATCCCAAGTGTTTTTATTTTCCTGGTTTAAACAAAGGTCAAACCGTTTTATATATATTGTACAGTATATATATCCATCCATCCATCCATCCATTATCTTTTACCCACTTCTTCCATTTTGGGTCACGGGGGTCGACGGTGCCCATGTCCAGCAATCACTGTACGAGGGGCGGGGTACACCCTGGACAGGTCTACAGTCCATCACAGGGCCACATAGAGACAAACGAGACAAACAACCATTCACTCTCTCACTCACACCTAGGGACAATTAGAGTTACCAATCAGTCTAACATGCATGTTTTTGGTCTGTGAGAGGAAACAGGAGAATCCGGAGAAAACCCA